ATCTACTTTCAATAAAGATTAATGTTGCAATGGGTGAAATGCTCCTTTAACGTTTGAACTGTGGCACATTGGATAATTGTAAAAGACGTTGTAAAACTGTTGTTGTCGACAGCCCATAAAATGCATTTAATTAGGCAACAAATTTTTAGTCCATTTGCTTAGTTATTTAATGCTACATTTTAATTGTTGCACAGTGTAAATAAACACACCCCAGTATCAGTTATAAAATTCCACCCTAAATGATTGCGATCCACTAGTTGATTATACAAATCCATGTAATGGACTACGAATCAGATATGTCTGGCTTGTATATAATTGTTATTAATTAATTATTATCTTTAGATGAAGGATTTAGTTTGGATCCATCTGTGTATTAGATAAATCAGCCATACAGCTGTATTTGTATATTGTGTTTTACTCTGGAACCATTACATAATGCATCAATCTTATGTTGCCACACAAGACATGTTGATTATTGTCCTATTACTGGGACACTGTATATGAGACATTTCATTTAGTTTTTGACACGGACCTGTAAATTTCACAGGCTCCCTCACTGTCTCCCTCCTGACTTTGCATACATAGGCCTGTGTGTGTCAAGAGTTGAGTAAGTGTGTGTGTGTGTATGCTGTGAAGCTGATCTATGGGAGAGAGAATGAATGTGTCCACTAAGAGTGTTTGAAGTTCAGCTCACGTCACGTGTGCTATGGAAGATTTCTAATAATTCACTTTGTAACAGTCGATAGTATGACTCAGTCTGAACTCAGTATTACTTAAAGGGATAGTTCACCCCAAAATGAAAATGCTGTCATAATTTACTCACTCTCAAGTTGTTCCTAACCTGTATGAGTTTCTTTGTTCAGTTGAAGATATTTTGAAGAACGTCTGTTACTGCCATTGACTTCCATAGTACGTACAGTAGTATGAAAATTTTCATTTTTTGGTGAACTATCTCTTTAATGTGAACGGTTCTGTTAATTCAAGTTAGCTCAGTTCCATTAAATAAAAAAAGTTCAACTGTTTATTGCTAGGTCATGTTAACTAATGTTGGTGTTTGTAAAGTGTTACTAGATTATCAAAGATATTTGTTAACTTCTACCAAAGCTCTGTCTGCCATGTTTACTCCAAAATGCAGCGCTACCTGAGATGGGATCGCATGAATAAACAGATGCCAGTTCTGTTTAACATTAGTGTGTCAAGTGTTGTGTGATATTTGTGTTTGTGTACATTGCAGTGCAATTAATGGTGTCTCCCTGGTTAAGTCAGGCCCATAGTGATGACCCTTGTGTTTATTTTAGTGTCTTTTCTCAGTACCCACTGTGACCCTCTTGGGGGTTCCTTGCATTGCCCACCGTGTCTCGATTTTCCATTCCCAGAATCCTCAAAGCTTTTCCCATGCAGGCACTTGAATGTTCTCATGTCAGTCTGTTCCTAAGCACTCTTAAATCTAAAGTGATGTTTTCAACATCATAACAGCCATTTTTCAAACATTGACATTGTAAATGCACAACAGATTCAACGAGCATTCGAGACTGAGCTTCTTGAAGTGCATTCTGGGATTGCCTTGCAAGTGCATCTTATAAGGCAGCATTATGTTACTGCGTTATGAATAGTCTCACGCTGTTAACATGCCTATGATACCTTAAAATTAGGGCCCTATAGAAAATATTTTTTTCCCCAAATTCCCTTTTTTACATTTATTATGTCTAAAAACTACTAGGGACAACTTACAAGCCTCTTTATATAGCCTACACCATGGCATTACACGTTTTTCTTTTTCTTTTTTTTTTTTTTACTGCTGCCAGATAGTACTAATCTGTCTTTAAAAAATTTCTTTAAATCTCTATTATAAGTAGGGTTGGGTATCGAGAATCGAGTATCGATTGGAACCGGGACTAACTTTTCGTTTTTCCCGGAATCGTTCAAAAGTTAAAATTTCGATTCCTAGTTTCGATATTCACAATCCGCCGAGCGGAAGAAGAAACCACCAACGAAGAAGCGTCTTCCGGAACTGTTGGCATAACCGCGCGAGTCGAACATGAGTAGCTTACGTCGGCGGTTCAAAGTGTGGCTTCACTTTTCTAAAAATTAACGAAATCTCGGCAAAATGCAAAATTTGTGACAGAAGGAGTATTTCCTTCAGAAAGACCGTTGGTTAGCAAGGTTAGCTAAACTTTTTTGACTTTCCCTGCCTCTTAAAAGAATCGGAATCGAGAATCGTTAGGAACCGGAATCGAAACAAGGAATCGGAATCGGAATCAGAATCGTTCAAATTCAAACGATACCCAACCCTAATTATAAGATGAAATTCTGCATTGGTTGAATATAGTTTTTTAATGGGGAAAAAAATTACACAATTATTTTAAAAAAATATGAATTCCCTGAAAATACAAATTATTTAAGGGATACTTCAGGTTTTAGCATTAAGCTTTGTAGTAGGAAATCTGTAGTATTTTCAAATGAGAAAGCTGAGTAGTAGAGGTTACCATCCTCTTCTTCCTGGACATGTCCAGCCGTCGAGATCGTACAAAACGTCCTGGATTCAGCTTTTGCTTCTGCAGTCGCCATTCATTGTTTACATGCACACCTTTTATTTCAATCTAACTGAATTCATTCCAATTGGTGAATCTTGAATGTAGCTTGTTTACATGAAGACTTGTTGTGAACGCTAAACAAGTAATCGGTTGATGTGCGTTTTAACATTTGCTAAGAAAATTTTAGTAGTGGAAAGATACTGTGTTTCTAGTCATGTCTCAGTGTTTAGTACTTCCAGGCCTCTTGCTCTGTGTTTGGTGTGTTGTTGTGGTTTTGCTCTGTGGTGTGATATGTGTCCTTGCTCAGATGTGAGTGATTATTCTCTCTCCCCATTAAAACAGCCCCTCTCCGTCCTTGTGCGTCTCCTGTCATGCCTCTTCATATTGTGATCAGTGTCAGCCTTTGAATGAGCTCCTCATGCTTCATCTAGAAGACCAGGTGTCTGTCATATTGTTTGCAGTTATTTAAATACTCTGTCTCTATTGATGTAGCCTGATATATCGCTTTGTTGTGACATTGATTATTACTCATGTCATGTGAGGATTGTGTCAGACAACATTTTCTGTGAGTGAAAGCAAAATATAGACAAACATTTTTCTTTTTTTTATAGCTTTGTCATCGATGGTTGCATGCAACAACAAACATACACTGTAATTTCCCTAAAGTGATTATGTCATTTATTCTTTTGGATCACCATTTTTTAATTGGCCTTGGATTTAACTCAGTTTAGGATAATTTGTATTAGGGCTGCACAATATTGAAGACATCAAAATGTGATGTGCGCTAACTCGTTAAATAATGCAATGTTTGATATGTGATACGATTATGCTTTAAGTGTGTAAAATATATTTGAATTGTATTTAAAAAAATTAAAAGAAAGATATAAACAAAATGCAACCAACTTTTTTTGAGAAGCACCCCTACAACTTCTGAAAGTGAACAGTAGTGTTTTACTGTAGCATTACATAAAAATGAAATGTCATTTTAACATTAGTGTAGACTTAACAGAGAGAGTAATCACCAGGTTTTGACTTTCATTAGGTTTATTTAACAACCGAAATTGAATAATCAAATGTAGAAATAAAACACTCCTCAGTCTTTACGATAGGCCTGTAGCCGTGCGCCGACGTTTCAACGTCAAAATCACGTAGACGTCATATTTTTGTCGCCGCAAATTTTGTTTTGTTTTGCACCGTTCCCGGAGGTACAGCTCGCCACACGCACGTCGTGTCACTCGGTGTTGGAATCGCACAGAAATCCGCGTCGATATTCGGTGCGGTAGATAATAGTCGTTAAGTTTCCAGTGCCAAATTAGCACCGGGTCTGTCTATAGCTACCCGCTAGTAAAGCAAAGCCAGTCTGTCACTAGCCTATAGTGCGTTGGTCTTTTTTTTTATTACTTATTTCTCTGCATTGAGTGACCGTCTCAAATATAAGACACACAAACAGAACAAAAAAAAGTCCAAGATTCACTCTGGAATTGCAAAAATATTGCTTACTTATTGTGACATGATAGCAACTCTTCTACTGTGATAATGCAACTTAAACTACCAGTCTATCCAGTGGCTGGCGGCAGTGGCTCAGTGGTTCATGTAGGTTGTCTACAAACCAGAAGTGTCGAGGTGTCCATGAGCAAGACACCTAACCTCAGCTGCTGCCGACGAGCTGGATGGCGCCTTGGCTCTAGTGGCAGCGTGCGTCAAACACGTGTCCCACGACTGCCCACAGATGCGCCTGCCTAATAATCGGCTTGATATACTTTCCCACATGAATATTCACCAAAATGGGCATTTGTTTTGGTGCCCATACTCAATGGCTTTCTGTGTGCATGAGTACTTCACTTATTGCGTTGAATAACATTAAGCATTTTACAGGTATTATGTGTCCAGTCTGCTATCTGCTGTCCGCGATGACCTAAAACTTACTTTTATTTTATTGGAGTATTAAAATCATGCAGTTATCGCAAGCCGTTGATACTTTCTATTTATCGTGCAGCCCTAATTTGTAATTGTTGTTGGATAGAGGGAGGCAAGGAATGTATAATAAAGGGAAGTGAAAAGAAACAGGTCTGGTGGAGTGCAGTATATCAGACTGAGGGAAAGGAGTGTTTGACGCATCATCTGGATTTCATAGAGCAGTGTGAGGTCTGCGGAGATCAACATCTGGCAATAATACCAAACACACACACTCTCACACAGCAGACATGGATGCTGTTTAGTTTTTTTTTCAGAGGGAAATATCTCACATTTCCCAGCTGGCTCTGTGGGTCAAGGCCCTTTTTTTTCCTCCTAGCTATGGTGGTTCTGTCTGTTCCTCATCAACAACAGATTAAGTATTTGGATCCATCCATTACCAAAAACCATTTTGTTTACAAAAATCAAAAAATCAATATCGTTAGTAATGGTGTTTGATAATCAGATCTTGCATATCAATCTAATAAGTATTCTCCATCCCTTTCTCTGTAGCCTCACGAGTTTGACGAGTGCCGTTTGGACATCAGTGTCAATGATAGCGTGTGGTATCTCCGGGCTCAGGACCCAGAACATCGCAACCAGTGGATCGATTCCATCGAGCTTCACAGGGTGAGTCCCCCTAACATGCCGGTCTTTACCCAACAGGCTCTCTTCTCATGCAGCCAGACTATTGACTATCAGTTAGAGGTCTTCACGGGTCCAAAAATTCATGCCCGACCCGGAAGAGACCCGTAATGTGCTACACCGAACCGACCCGGACCCGTCGTTCATTTCAAAAGTTTCACTTCCTGACGTTATCTGACTGACTGTGATGCATTACTATCCACCGACAAGAAAGTTCTATCCATGTTATTTCTCTCGTTTTTCCAAGCTTAATCCACTCATTATTTCAGCTTTAAAAGTCCACTTGATGTCACGGTGATGGATGAAAAATGCAGCCTTGCACATGCACATTCTGACTCGAGTTAACTCGCATAATAACTTTAACTGTTTGCCCTTTTGAACTATAACGATTGCTTGTTCAGGTTGATCATATCTGTGCTCTCTGCTCTTCATTGAGTCTGAATCTGACCACCAAAACGTTAAAGGAACACTCCGACTTTTTGGGACTTTAGCCTATTCACCGTACCCCCCAGAGTTAGATAAGTCCATACATACCTTTTTCATCTCCGTGCGTGCTATAAGTCTGTTTGACGCACCCACCGCTAGCCTAGCTTAGCACAAAGACTAGATGTGAATGGTTGCAGATTTCATACTAATCCAAATGAGTGACAAAATAACGCAAACGTTTTCCTATTTACATGTTGTGGTTTGTATAGTCACAGAGTGTGCAAATATCAAGGCCATATGAGACACAGACATCTTTTGACCGTATAAATACTATATTTTCTGAAGGCGAAGCACTGCTACTTGGGCAGAGTGATAACCATCACCTGAGACGCACCGTGACGAGGAGCAGAGTGTTCGCTCAGTGTTGGAATAAAGAGTCAGCAATTACTAACGTTAGATAGAAAAGCATAGTTTATCATGGGTGTTTGCTTTATTGTATGAGCTGTGACAATAAACAGGGGAGACCAGGTAATACAGTACCATGTTTCATTGATTTCCAACCAAAAACGCACCCAGATTTTTAAATATCACATGAATAAATAATTATTATTACAGGAATCAATATATTTTAAATGCAATTTATTAGCTGAACCAAATGTAGGCTATTTAGCCTATATAATATACAGTATTGCATTACTATAGGATAGAATAAGGGGAAAGTAATAGCACAAATTGTTTTTGCACAATGAACTCACAGCCTATCGTACCCTTTTGCACGCTCAAGTTCGTTATTTCCATGGTTATTTCAAATTTAGGCTACTAGGCGCGCCGCGCGCAGGGTGCAAGTTCAACGCGGTGAACGCGCTCGTTTATTTTCCCCAAGCGCGTCCGCACCGCATCAAGATAAAAACATATTCATACCCTAATCATATAATAGTGTCACTAACGTTACATTAGATCTGGCTAAAGGCACTGTTACAGTAGGTCATCTAAAAACATAACACAACCCTTACCTCAGCCGCAGGTGCTCCACTTGTCCTGTCTGTGCGATGGGATGGCCGTATCCTTCAGCACATTATGGTCCGTGTGGCAAATTCCATTTTTTCAAAATAGTCGTCCTCATTGAAATGTACCGAGCAAACATAATGTCCCTTGATAATCTTAGGTGTGTTTGGATAAATATCCAGAGTAAGTTAGCCATTTCTTCATCCAGTCAGCGTATTTAGTTGGAATTCTGTGAAACATGGTTACCTCCCCTGTTTACAGTCGCAGCTATTTACAATAGAGCGAAAACCCATGACTCTAAACTACGCTTTTACTATTCATAAATTGCTGACTCTATTACCCAAACACCGAGCGAACTCTCCGCTCCTCACCACGGCGTGTCTCCGGTGATGCGGTTATTACGCCGTCAAAGTAGCAGTGCTTCGCCTTCAGAGAATAGTTCCCAGGTTTTATACGGTTAAAAGATGTCTGTGTCTCATTTGACTTTGTTATTTGTATATAATGTGACTATACAAATCACAACATGTAAATAGGAAAACGTTTGCGTTATTTTGCCACTCATTTGGATCAGTATGAAAGCTGCAACCAGTCACATCCAGTCTTTGTGCTAAGCTAGGCTAGCGGTGGGTGCGTCAAACAGACTTATAGCACGCACGGAGATGAAAAAGGTATGTATGGACTTATCTAACTCTGGGGGGTAAGGTGAATAGGCTAAAGTCCCAAAAAGTCGGAGTGTTCCTTTAAGATTAAACAAGACGGTTCATTTATATTATACCCGGCTGGTCATTTAAAATATAGACCCGAACCCGTACGGGTCCCGGGTCGGGTCCGGGGCCGACGGGTCTCGGGTGCACTGTGAAGACCTCTACTATCAGTATTAAGTTTGGTTTGTCTGAAACCACACATGTAGACAGGAAGCAGCAATCTGACCAACATCTGACTGACAACTAACCACTGCTTTTTTTATTTTTATTTGACATATTTGGCTCAGAGTGGGTTATTTGCCCAATCACAGGCCTCTTGCTGAATACTAGTTTGACTAGAAAAGATTGACTGTGTGTAAGATTATGAATGTGAGTCAGTCTGTTGACATTATCTGAGGGGCAGAGCACATCACTGAAGTGACTAACATATACAAACACACACACATGCACGCACACACACACGCGCGCACACACGCACACACACACACACACACCAGGAAGTCATTTTAGGTCTCAAATACACAATCCTACAGTAACGCAAATTAAAAATATATATAACAACTATGTATGATGATCATACATGATATTTAACACACTCTTTCTCAAAGCATATGAACACAAAAATGCTGCAGATCAGTACTAACATGCATGAGTGAACATGCCACTCGCATAGCTGTAGTAAAATACTCGATAGTGAGAGAGAGGATGTGGGCACTGCAGGTACAGACAGAAAACTGTCACTCAAGAAGTAAGAAAAACAAAAACAATCAAAGCCAGATGAGAGGAACGGTGAGAAAGACATCATGATCGAATCTGCTGAGCGACGAAACACTTTAGAAATGAGATGAGAGGAAGGGACTTATTGTGACGTGTGTGTGTGTATATATAGAGAGAGGGATTACAGAATGAAAATAGAATATATATTATATATATATTTATATGTGTGTGCGTGTGTGCGTATATTCATAAATAAAATATTTTAGTTTGAATAGTTTGAATGAATATTATGAATAGTTCAAAGGTTAATTACACGAATATAAATAAACATTTAATAGCCTAATTTTTTTGTGTGTATGTTTATAAAACGGTTCGTTCCAATCTTTGATTCTGATTGGTCAATAGCTGTGCTTTATTCACGATAAAACACGGCTATGAATGCTTCACCCAACGGTTCTATGTATCACTCACTACACTACACAACACCCCTAGCAACCACTGTTCGCAACTTGCAATTTGGCAAACACATGTTTGATCTCATTGATATTGTTCATTGTATTTTGAGAGATCGAGTAAGCAAGTGTACCTGAATTTACAGTGGACATAGCATTTTACTTCAGGTCAGTCCTATACTCATAATAAAAAAAATCTGTTTGAATGTCTGCTGCGATATCTTGTCCTTTTAACAGTTAAGGGGTTTTCCTGTGCCAATAGTCATCTGTGAGTTTCGGCCAGGGACTACTTTTTCCAGCGGAAGGAAGGCTTTTAGTAATTTAACTTAATTAAAGTTGCAACTTGCATAGATACGTATTTTTCGACTTTAATATTTGTATTGTGTGGTAACCGTTTTATAAAAGCAATGAGGTACTCGAGGCTAGTGCAGTATCGTGAATAAGTAACGGCTGAAGGGCGTTGTAAGGCATAGGCGCGATGCGAAGCCACGCAAATCGTGACTTACTCACGATACAGCAGAGCCTTTCGTACCTTATTGCTTACATATAAAATGTTACATTAAATACATTTATTTAATTGGTTTATAATATATTAATTAATTAATTAATATTTATAAATGCATAAATATGATTTTAAAATTAATAAAATATTTTTTATTCGAGATATATATTCCAGCTCTAGTGTGTGCATGTGTGTCTCTTGGTGGGGTGGGGGAAAAATCGATTCTTAAATGTGTCACAATGCGGATGTGGACAATTCTAAATCGAATCACAAAATCACAAATATCAAAAATGTACTTTTTCAAAAATGTTAATTGATAATGTAAAGTTGGACTGGCCATCAGACCGGGCACTTTCCCGATGGGCCGAAGAGCTTTTTGGACCGATACATCTCATCATTTTTTGTTTTTTTCTTTCTTAACGGCCCATAAAACTTGTACATCAGCAGCCCATTCGTTTATTTATTTATTTATTTATTTTTTTGCTTAATTAGTGACGCTGGGGTCTTTGTACCATTGTAATGCATTAGTAAAAAAATAGTCAGTGTTAGTGTTTTAGTGGGGTTTTTTTTTTTTTTTTCTGACAGACCGGCCCATGAAACATGTAGATCAGCGGCCCATGGTTTATTTTCTTGATTGACACTGGGCTGAGCCAATCACATCTTTAAACACCTCCCCCTCTGGGCTCTGAGTGAGCGTGCAGTGTCAGTGTGTATCTGTCAAAATGATAGTCAGAAAGATGAAGAAACTCAAGGAATATGCAGAGAAATAGTGTGAAAAAAGAAACAGGCCCTTCAACCAGACGCTGTAAGACTTGTTTTCTGCAGCAACAGGACCTTCATCAGCTCCCGTGGCTGATGAGAATAAGGAGAGAGATGAGTGAGAGTAGAGTCTGCGGTAAGCAGAACTACTTTCAAAACACTTAGGATATGTCATCATGAGTGTAGGAACCCATTACCCAGTTATGCATTATTTCCACTTCTGCATACCGGTAGTTGACGATTACCGCATTTTACTAGAATTGTAATGAGACGTGTTTGCAATCCATGTTTTCCAAAATAAAATTTTCCATGCCAAATTAAAAGCTGGATGCAGTTTTCGTCAAAATAAAAGATCATGCGTTTTTCTTTTTCAAGTATAGAAATTAGTACAAAACTTTGGTTTTCAAAAAAGTTTCCTTT